GGAAACCGATACTTTCAGATTTTGCCTCCTGTCCAGTCAGAAAAACACCTTTTGTGCTTCTGTGGCATGTCCAGTCTACCCCAAAAGATAACAAACAGCTACCGTAAGCATCTTGGGCCCACTTTCCCCCCTTAATGGGAGAATCTTGCTGATGCTGATGGTATGACGTCAGATTCTGTGGCTTCTACAGCAAAAAGCAATGAAGAACAAAAACACATCTACCTAGACTCCCCACGGCCCTTCAAAAATGGGGTCATCGACCCCTTGCTTTAGGGTAATGAGCGACCATCTTTAAAGGGTCAGAAGGAGAGTCCGGGTAATTACCATCAATCATAGCTGTCCTTTTAGGGGAAATAGATGGCCCTGGTAGACGATCAAACCACCAGGTAAACCAGGAATCGCCATCTATGTTTTTTCTACCAAGACAACCAAAAAGGACACCTATGCCATGAATAGTTTCAGTTTTCAGACGCATTTTTTGGGCGATCTCTTTGGAGCTCCCGGAGCGCAAGATACTGCCTGCCCCCAGCGGGAAGCATCGAATCCCCCGAGCCTCGAGAGGCTCAGAGTCGGCCGACCGCAGGCTGACCGCCCGGGGCCGCTCTATAGAAGCCGCAACCCAACGGATCGAGGTCGGGTTCAGACATATCCCGGTTAGAAGGGGAGGGGGGTCGGGGGTCCAATTCATTCCACGGCCATTTTGGCCTTCCGCGGAAAAGGGAAAATGGGTTGCCATCAATGGAGAGTCTTTCAGGGGAATGTTCTTATATCCACTCTTCAGGGGTGGGGATTGAGAAACAACTCGGAATGAGTGTCTCCCTTGCTGACCGGATGGGCCAAACAAAGTCCAAGCTTTCAATCTACCACTGAAATAGTCTTCCCAACAAGTTAAAGTGGTAGGGATCCCCAGGAATGGATGTGACAACTCCTGAAAGGCAAAACCACATCCACACTTTGGATAGGGCCTTGTTCCATCGGTGCGGCTCTAAGTTCGGCTCGGTGCTTGGCCTGCTCGTGAGCCCCTACTCGGAGCGACCAGCATTCGGCCACGCCTCCTTTGCAAATGCTCCCGGTGGGAGCCGGCAAATTCGCATTTGTTGGTCGCCGTTCTCTGAATGGCCCGGCGACCTGAAAATTGAACGAACGCCAGAGTTGAGATGACCGGCTTGTGCTTAAATTCGCGCGGCGGAACGAAGGCGAGCCATGCCTCCAAAGAGCTTACGAGCGTGAGAGCTCTGAGCTTTGAAAATGGATCCCAGGTGCCCATAAGCCATGCTGGCAGAGTCAGTCGCTCTTGATTCAAGGGACTGATCTTTCGAGTCAGCCGTCCGAATCCGAAAAAAAGCGCCTTGGCCCTCCCGTGACCGGCATAAGGCCACTTGCAACACGGGGGCAACTACTACCCCCCCAGCAAATTAGCATGGAACCAGAACAAGAAGGTCCCCCAAAAGAAGATTCCTCTACACCTCTGGCTTGTTTGAGTTCCATGTTAATCTGCAGGGGGGTATGACGGTATGATGGTATGACTTTTTCAACCCCCCCTGTGACCTGGCCCTGACAAGGCATCTCACAGTGTCACCAGCCTGTGCGCGCACAGGCCTGTACGCGTGCGAAAACTCGCACGGCACAGGAGGGATGAGTGCTTTTTGCTCTGCAGGTCGTGCGGATTGGAACATACAAAACCCGGGGCACTGAGGCAAAAGCAAAACCCGGTATTGATTAACATTGCCCGCCCAAGTCCACGCAAAGAATTCAACAAGGCGGCGAGGCACCGCTTTCTGGCCGGGATTCTCCCTTAACCTTCATCTATCCCGGTTTTAATTGCGGCTCAACTGGCACCCAAATACAAACCGTGGAGAAAAATAAACTGGAAAGTGTGTTTTTTTCAACACATTTCTCTTCATCCAGCCTGCTTTGCCGGACGAACTTGATCCTCCCCCCCGCCCCGCCAAACAATAAAAACATGTCCAAGAAGGACATCTAGGGGCCCCAACAAGAACCGCTAAGCATACTAAACCCCGGCCCTCCCCGTCTTCTGCGAAGTACCCCCTGTTTTTTTCAGGCGCCACACCATCCTGGCACCAGCGCCTCAACCCACACAACTGTCTCACTTCAAGTCACCAAGCTTCTTGTTCACCACCAAAATGGTGACCAAACCATCTCTACTCTTGGTATGGTAGCGAAACACTTTGTTTTTTGCAGACCCCCAGTAAAAATGAACAGAACCAGACAACTAAAAAAACCAACAAAAACATGCCAAGAAACCCAAAATGTGACCTAGACCTCCATGACCCTTTAAAAATGGGATCATTACCCACAAGAAAGGCTAGGTCCTCCAGTTCACATCGAGGATAGATTCAGGGCCCCCCCATTTTTTTTCTGCAGCCTTTTTTAGTAGGGGAACCCTCCCCAAAAAAAAGGGGAGAGAAGGGCACCTAGCTAGGGGGTCAAATGAGCCCATGTTTGAGTCTAGGTCAAGTCCAACACGTGACTCAGGCTGGGGTCTTTATTTTGACGGTTTCTGGGGGTTATCAAAGCCATAAAATGGATTCGGTTGTTTCCCTTTAACCCACCACTTGGAAAATGGGTGACTTTGATGGTAAAATAATGCGGCCAGGAATTAGAAGCCGAACGCCCGCAGCGATGCGCATCATCCCATGCCAGCGGCTGGGCCTGGTGGAACCCTCAGCCCTCAGAGCCGCAAGGCGAGTCCTTCCGACCATGGGTCCTTCCAACCTCAAACATGGGCCATTTGGCCATGGGTCAAAATCCCGTACCCCCAATGAACATCTCAATCCCCAAAATGGGTGGTGCACCCACCCCCAAAATGGTACCATTGGTTTTGACCCACAGCCATTTGACCCGAATCTTTCTCGGTAATGACCCCATTAAGGGTCATGGAGAGAACTCTGGGGAAAAATGCCTGACTTCTCAACCCTTACCCGTTTAGAAGAAAGAAGAAGTTGAAAGTTCAGGTCGGTTCGCCTTGGGCTCAGACTGGGTGGCGGTCAGTTGCTGGAGCCTTCATCACAGCCATTTCGAGGGGCAACGAGACAGACCGGAGTGGCAAGAGCGCTAGGATGGATAGCATCTGCCTAGGGGAATGCTTCAGAAAAGCCCATCCCACAGGTGCTATGGGTAATTATCTTTGAAGCCTTAAGAGTGGGGATGACAAGACCACAGCTTTTTTGCCATCTCCTGCCATCAACAGGTTCCAATGTCAAGGGCGCTCGGAAACCATAAAACAACTAACAAGACTCGCGTCTTGACGGCCAAGGAAACGACTTCAAGACTTCTTGCCCGCGAGCGCCCGAGACAGTGGCGAACGCATAACAAGTGAATGCCCCAGTTGCAATCGGCCACACGCCGAGCCCGAGACAGGCCGAAACCTTTACATCGGCGCAGTTTGGGCACCTGTGAGAGGCCCGCGGGGCCATGGCTCGCTTCACGAAACAACAGGGGTCAATTATGGGGCTCTGAACGGGAAAAGCACGGGACATCGCCACCATCTGCCTAGTGCCCAAAAAGGGCGTTTGCTGGTCGAAAGGCTTTCCCAGAAAAAGCAAAAACATGCCATCCGGGGTTCTTCATTTTTCTTCGATGCTTAAACTATTCAAATTGACTCATGGCAATATGAATTCCAGAACATATGAGGCATTTCCAAGGAACAGACCTGCATTGTGGTGGGCCTTTACCCTAAATCGGTGAGCTTGTCAAAATTTAACTTTTGTGCAACTGGTTTCGTCTCATCAAGCTAGAGTGCACGATATCAAAGGAAAGAGGGATGTCCTGTTAGGGAGACCCCTTTCTTCCTTCTGCCTGGAGCCTCCATGACCCTTCAAAACCGGGGTCATGACCCCTTTCTGGAATATTCTCGCGCACGGTTGGTGGACATACATTCCCAACGAAATGATGTCCGCCATTTCGGGTCCCCTATCTTCGTGTCTTCGTCTGCGGGAGCTTTTGATTTTCATCCGGCGCCAACCGACACCCGCTTGTGCGGTTGTTGGACGCTCGCCCAATTCGTGAGCCACAGCCGCGAGGAATCCTCCCTCGGTTACTGCGAGCCGCCGCCGCGGCACCCACGTTGTCCCGAGGGCAACAAAAGTACGAGGTGTAGTTGGTACAGTTGCCGTGCTGTCCCTACATTTTACCGAGCCAGTTCACACATCAACTTGAGCCAATTGTGGCGGAGTTTCCTCTTGGAGATGTGCCCTGACAACCCTAGAACTGGAACTTGTTCTTTGCTTGTGGCTTTGAGGCGCCTACTCCAAATCTGTTTTGTTGTTATTGTCTTCTTTTTTTTGGGGGGGGGGAGGGGGGGGTGGGGGTTGGGGGTGGGCGATGGGGGGGGGGGTGTGTGTGTGTGTGTGTGCATGGGTTTCTAGGCTCAAGGCATCTCCAAGTTCTTCTGCCACGAACTGCGTAAACTGATGAACTAAAGTTTTTTGTTTTTCCCTGAAAATATCTCAAATACATTCAAATACCTCAGTTGCCCAAAGGACCTGGAACTAAAAGGTTAAGCTTTTGGGGCCATGACCAAATATGGACCAAAATGGGAAACCCAAAGGTCAAAAGGTCGGCTTTGAACAATTGAGATACCCATAGTCATCATATCTCGAATGCCCATACTTGGAGTCTCCATGACCCTGTAAAAATGGGGTCATTACCCAAAAGAAAGGGGTCATGACCCCATCTTTAAAGGGTCGTGGAGAGTCTTCTAGGGCTACCTTCCCCATTCTTTCCAGGGATCCTTCTTTTCAGGAAACCAAAAACCCAGTGAAAGAGATTGTTTAAGAACGATGGTTGAAAACAATGGACAAGGAATCAACCCCTAGAAGTCTAGGTAGTCATATCTCAAATACCCAGAGTTCAACTTGCCCTTCAAACGGGCCTTGCGGGTTTCCTCTGGCGAGGTCGCTTTTCTGGACGCGCATCGGAGCTACCGCTGAGCCGAAGGCAGAAGCCTTTTCCGGTGAGGCGCTAGTACTTGCCACGCACGCAAAATCCGGGCGAAGCAGTTGCTTGGTCTCAGCCCCTTAGGGACCCAGGAATCAAATGTTGACCTTTTGGGGCCATGACTGAACATGCGAACCAAACAAATGCAACAAAAAGGAAGAACCAAATTGAGCCAAAAGGTCGATTTGCCTTGGGCAAGTGAGTAGTTAAATCGTGGGTGAAGCAACTTTGCACGTCAAGCTGCCAACTCATCCAATCAGTCCATACTTTCCTTGGTCCTCCACCAGAGAGGTTAGAATAAGGGTACCAACTTTTTCCTGTAGTCTATCTTAGTAGGGTTCGGAACCCTCCCAACCAAAAAAGTGGGGAGAGAAGGGCATTACTGGGGGACCTAGTATTGGTCAAAAGCTCCAATTTACTTGTGCCCCCATTGATTCTGGAGGTTCAAAGTCTCGATTTCCCCTTCAAGTTTACTGGCGTTTGTTCCATTGATTTTGGAGGTTCCACATGGTTTCTTGGTTGCTGTTGACCCCCCCCCCCTGCAAAAAGTGTCTCACTTTTTAGGGGGTTTAGTAGAAAACACAACTTGATTTCAACCAAAAAGTTAATGCCTAAAGATCCGTTGCCCAATAGCAGTCAAGGTTTGACCATACCTTCCGTGGCAATTCCATCTGGAGCCTCTCGGCTACCCAGCTGAGCGGGGACAGCTTGGCCTTCGCTCAAGACAACTCCGTGGCGCGTACCTGGCGAAACGGCCGACGGAACTCCGTTGGTGTCAAAAGCAACCGGGAAAAAAACCTTGGTTGCTGTTGACCCCCCTGCAAAAAGTTCAACTTTTTGGGAGTTTGGCTCGAAAAGTTAAAGTCTAAAGATCCGTTGCCCAATAGTCAAGAAACAAACCCCAAACTCAAACCCATCCAAAAGCAAGCAGCTGAGTGACGGCTTCAAAGCTTCCACTTTTCAACCCGGACATTTGGCTTTGGAGCCCGGTGGCTTGGACTGCAACCGAACCGGCGGTGTCAAAAGCAACCGAGGGCCGAAGCTTGGGCTGGACTGGCATAGGCCTGGCCTGGTTTCTCTTGTTTTTTCTTCTTTTGGCTTGTGTTTGTCGCAACGATCCCCCAAAGCGATCCAGAATAAAGCCATGAAGGAGTAGCTGAGTTCACTTGGAAAGCAAGGGCGAACCTTTGTCTCACTTCCGCCATTGGCTTAAGCCCTGAAGACAACATACAAGATGTCCAGTGGTGATAAATGCCCTTTAACACCAACAGGGGAAAACCACATAAAATAAATATTAAGCAAACGGAAGACTTGCGTGGGCCAAAACAAGATTGAACCGATGTGGTTTGCAGCACCTTGCCTTCCCAAGTACAATCATTGGGATCGGACCTTTTAAAGGGATCCTCCAAATCAGCTGCTCTTGTTTCTCTCACTTCGTGAGTGGATTGGCCAGCAAAAGTCCAAACTGTTTGCTGACCCAAAAGCTTTACACTGCAGGAACCCGGGAAGTAAGCTCTTAAGAGCCACAAGACTCTTAACAACTGCTCTAATCGATGCAACAAAACATGCCGCCGCGTTCCGGGGGCTTTTGGGTGGTCGAGAAGTATCCCTCAAAACGGCCAAAGCGCCTACTGTAGATGGACAAAATCCCGCACCACCTAAGAAACCGTGGAATGATGATTCTGCAAATACCGAGCAAACCCCGGTTTCCTTTGCTTTCCAAGTGCTGCGAAGTCGCGGATTTCGCAACCATCCACTGGGGCCAAATGGCACACAAACCGAAACCGGAGCAACAGGTTGATTGAAGGCCTGGCAAGGGCACGTGAAAGCCGTGAGGCACCCAGAAAAAGCCGGGGACATGCAAGGACCCGAGCCACCAGCCCGGACCGGGCTCTTTTTCAAGGCCAAGGATGCGAGAGTTTCACCGAGCGAGTTGGGCGCTCGTCCCAGCGTTTTACCGTTGTTGTTTTTTTGAGTGCCCTGACTCCTGACAATCCCCTCGAGGGCCTCGAGCGAACATGTATGCAGTGGTGAAATAGCCGCAATAGCCGCGGCCAAAGTTTGACGAGCACAGCCCGAATGTGATGGCTATCCCTGCAAGGGCTTTTGCCTCAAGGAGCTGCAAAAGGGAGCCCATGATCAATACTGGTTGATTTTGCTCGAGCGTCCTCGTTTAGTGGGGGTGAAATCAATGTTGTGGGTGACTCCACCCTGTGAAGACGGGTTCATTCAGCCGGGGTCAACCTTTGTCACCACCTGATCATTTTGCCTCAGGGATTCATTGAGGCGATCTGATCATCGGATCACTCTCTCGGAAAAGGATCCTTTGATTTGCCAAACTTGGAGACCACATCCGCTTGAATCGCCTTGGACGCGAAGGGAGGGAAGCATAGACTACAATGACAAACTATATGATTCTACTTCGAAATCAAAAAAACAAGCTATGATCATAGGTGACCTTTCGGAACAATAGATGGGTCTCCCTGGAAAATGGCTCATAAAAACCAATCTAGACCAGTGGAACGCATCTGTTTCGAACCAAAGCTTTTCGATGAACGGGACACCTGTTATTGGCGCCCGCCACCGATCCCGGTTCGAATCGAAAAGGCGGACTGGTGAAGGTCCAGACCTGGCCTGCAAAAAGTCCCAGCTCTAGGGAAGATGAAAAAGACACGCCGCGATTCTGGCGATTCTAGGAAAACGGACCTGCAACCCGCAAAAAAAAACAAAAACCAGGAAGGGTTCTAAGGGCAAAACGAAACGTCCAAAGGTAACTTAAGTCTGGCAAAGTTGGGGTTGCTGACTTTCGGCGGTCCGAAATATTTTTATTTTTGGCCACCGGGGAAAAAAGAATGGCCTGATCGGGTGCCCTCTACGTTTATGGCTTGGGGGAAGCTGCCAAAAAAACTGATGGCTTCCAGTTGGTTTCCTCTAAAGAACAAGCCCCAACAGGGTACTTTCCCCCGTGTTTGTATCCAGTGGCCGGTGTATACAAAAAGGACCGAGCCTCAAATTCAATTTGCAAGGCTAATTGTTGAGGGGCGAAATCTCTGTAAAATAAGCTGGGGTTGAAGCCTGAATTTAGTCGCACTCTCTCTCTCTCTCTCTCGCTTGTCGTGCCATTGGACTCCGCCCCAATGGTATGAGGACATATGTGCGGCCCAGCAAGGTTCAGGGAATGCTCGTGAGCAATTGCTGAGCCCCTTAGTCATGTGGGTGAGCCCTTTTTTGAAGGGACCCCCCCCCCCAAAAAAAAAAAGAGAAATGTTTTCCTTGGCGTTTCCGAGCTTCACTTCAAAACCACACAAAACGGTACGGGTTCCTCTCTTACAAAACCACCCCAAGTTCCTCTCTTGCGGTGCGAGCTCGCCAGAAACACATCCAAACGCGTCCGCCCCGCGCCTGTTACTGACTTGGCACAAGGCCAGGAGCATGCAATCGGTCTCGCGCGGGAGGGCAAAAATGCACTTTAGAAAAAAAAAAAAAAAAAAAAAAAAAAACTCCAACGAAGCGTAAACATATGTTATCTAGGTCCTCCAGATTTGGGAGGTTAGAATAGGGCTACCAACTTTCTTTCTGTAGTCTATTTCAGTAGGTCAGTAGGGGAACCCTCCCCCAAAAAAGGGGGTAAAAAGGGCACCTAGGGGGACCTAGTGTTTAAAAAGAAGGCAAGACGCTGTTTGACGCCGTGTTGAACATCCGGGAGTCTTCCATCACGTCACCCCTCACTCCAAGAGGCGTTTTCCACCGCGTCAAGTGGCATGCCCGAAGGACCCACGAAATGAAGAGACCCACAAAATGTGAAGAACCTCTCGGGGTGATATACAATTTCTCCGGGCTGGAAAGGGATTCCTAAGGGATGGGGTCATGTAAAATTTTCGATCTGCCTCCTGAAATGCTTCTGAGCCTTCAACTCGTTTTGTAAGGGTCATGGAGACTCCAACATCTGGACTCCGGCTTTGAAATCCTCTTGACATCGGGGCTCATAAACTCAGCTTCCTCACAGTTTGGTGCCTTGGATTGGTGGTTTTGTGGTCTTCTGGGGTGGTTTCTCATTTAAAAACCCTCAAGAAGTTCAAATCCCCAAATCACCAATCCAAACCACCAGACTGATAAACATGACTCTAATAAGAAGAAGGACAACCACGACGACGATGAATAGAGTATTAGAGTTTAGAGAATTTCTGCTGACATGGTCTTGGTGACGCCGAACATGGCCCCATCTCCGACCCAATTTCGCGAGACAGCTCACGCCTAGGCTGCCGTTGGAAGCCCCAACCTCCGGCATGCGGCGAGGCTTGCATGAACCTTTGTATGGGCGGCTTGTCTTTCTTTTGGTGTACCCCTGCGTTGGCACAGGGAAAGCAAAAGGAAACTGAAGCTGTGTTGGGACACCCCCCATCTTACACACATGTTTGCGGACTCAGGCGCCACGCTTGCGACACATGAGCCGCGCTGGTGCCCTGGACCGACGCAACACCCCAGAACCGGCAGCTCCAGCAAACTCACAGTTTTGCAGGGACCCCTGGACAAAATACACACCCGTATATGAAGTCATGGCCATTTGGCGTGACCATGCGTGACTGCAGAACCAGGCGATAAGGGGGTTCATTGAAAGGCATGGGTTCATTTCAGAAGCAAAAGGCTCCCGGCTCAATTTCGCCTACAATCTAGTATTACAGAAGCCCAGAAGCCGGAGAGGTATCCAGGACCTGCATCACGAGTCTCGACGGCCCGGTCCCACTGAAATGGGAAGACGCTCGTGGAACCAAACTTCCGCTTAAAACATCACCAAAAACAACCAATAACAACCAAAACAACCAATAACAACCACCTGTAAACAAACCACCCCCTCGCGTTTTGCCACGTGGGGGCCCGGGCGCTGGTGCGCGGCCGCCGCCTTTTCGCTTCATCCGAAGGGCACACGTGGCAGTGGAAGCAGTCCTCACGAGTGGAGAGTTTAAACAAATGTGGTCTGTTTTTTTTGTCTTTGCGTGGACCCCAAAATGGTCGTCTTCCTGTTGGTTTTCAAGCAATAGAATGAGGGAGGTAAAAGAACAAGCTGAAAAGGTAAAGAACATGTTGGTTGTGGCCTAGTCTCGCAGTGCGCTCTATCCCAACTGGGCCAAGACCTTTTTGGAAGGAAGTTGGGAATTTGGGAGACATTAATCCGATTCGCATGCGAGCAGTTTTGAACATGCACGGGTATGTGGGCAATGGCATCAAACCCGAGTGGGCGAGTTGAAAGCCCGCCTTAACCACCTGAGAACTTGAGCGCGGCTCACACCTCAGCTTTATATGAGATCGGTGAATCCACCGACCGCAGCCAGATGAAAATTTGCTACTCTGGACGCTTAGATTTCTTGCCTCCTGATTTGAAGCGTGCAGCACCCGAAATGTCTTCGTCTTTCATGCGGGAGGCGCAGGAAACGGATTAACTAATCAACAACGTCCACTGGAAAGACGCACCAATCCGGTCTACTCAGAACTGTTCAACCAGTTGGTGGACATTCGGGATAAGGAAGCAACCGGGAGTCATGCTCGTCATTGCTTGTGATGACACATGCGAAGCGGCTCTTAGGCGGATTGCGTTTCATGTCCACATGAAACGGACGGAAGATAGGTCAGCCCTGAAGCCTGCTTGCCATCAAACCCACGACAGGCTCCGGGTTGGTATCCGTCCATCATCAGGCGCGAACTCGTACAAGGGAGGCGGGAAACAGCACTTCAAAACTGGTCGAGGTAAAGGGGCAGAAAAGAAAAGGAGCCCCCCTAAGATATAGAGTTGACATGCTGGCATGTCTGAAGAAGATGATCCTCCTTTTTCAGATGCAGTACCGCCATCTTCAGAGGATCGTGTGCATGGAGTTCGCGTTTTGAAGAATTTGCTCATGATGTGAAGTCCGATCAGTATCCTTCGATTCCTTGGCGATTGCCGCCCTTTCCGTTATATCCAAAGTCTCATTCCAAGAGGATTTGGTGCAGATAGACGCAATTCCAGACTTTGTGCAGATTCGTGCGGAACTATGTAATTCTTCTAAACTACATTTTTTATGCAAATCAGCGAGCTTCTCACTTACAGAAGCCGAATGTCAGTTTGGCCCAGCACAAAGACACACCCAACATGATTCAAACCCAAAACAGTTGAAACCGGGGAAGTAGATCAATGTTCAAAACCTAGGAAGGTGAGATTCCAATCCCCGTGACTTCGGACATGATCCATCCTCTTTTTTTCTGGGGGGGTCTCTGTTACGTAGAAATCGGAAGGTAAGACTACAGTACTGATGCCGCAAGGGCCGCAAGGGAATCGCTCAGGTGCCTTGGGGAACTTGGATTTGGATTAAACTGGCTGGTTGATGAACATCCAGGGTCTGCAACTCATAAAGTATACCCTAAAAGTACCCTGGTTCTTAAAAAGAAAAAATACCTGTCTCTTTTGTCCAGGTTTTTACATACCCTATGTCTTTTTTTAAAGAGATTGGGGCTTCGGCACCGGAGACCGATGGGAGGTTTTTGCCCGCGCGTCCTGGCCACGGGGGCAGCCCTTGGTCGCGAAGAAGCTCGAGCAGGGCCTCGAGCGAGGCGTGAGATTCAGGAAAAAAGGCCCGCGCTCGTTTACTCGGGGCTGGGGGGGCTGAGGGGGCTGGGGGGGCTGGAGGGGAGGGAGGGGGGGGAGGGGAGAGGGGGCTGGGGGGGAGGGAGGGGAGGGAGGGGGCTGGGGGGGAGGGAGGGGGCTGGGGGGGAGGGAGGGGGGAGAGCCCAAATGCCATTTTTTTTCTGCCCCAATAAGGCCTTATTTGAGGCTTGGGGCTCCCTCCTCCTCCCCCTCCCTCCCCCCCAGACGCCATTATTTTTGTACCTAGATCCTGCTTTTGGCTTCCCTTCGAAGAGGGCCATCTGATGGTTCAAACAAGCTAGACCCTTGCACGTCATGTCACCTCCGGAAACAGCAGCCAGTGCTTTACCATTCCCAGACCAAAACAGTCATTTGGCTGTGGTTGTCAAAAATCGGGTAACCCCAAGATGCAACGCTAACAAATGGAACCATGGACTAAAACCTGCGGTTCCTTGGTGGTTCAGTTTTGACCCATCTCCATGTGGGTGAGCCCTGTTTCAAGGAGACCCCCCAAAAAAGAAAGAAAGAGAGAAAGTGTTCCTTGGCGGATCATTACCCAAAAGAAAGATTCGGGTCATGACCCCATGTTTGAAGGGCATGGAGAGTCTAGGTAGTTGCATTTTCTTGAAAGGGGCGGTCTGATGTCCCTTTTCTCAGTGAGTCGACTTTTCAAAAATGGGCACTCAGGCGACCCTGATGTTTTGGCCGTATGCAGAGGCCCGCCCCTCCAAAAGAAGAGGAACAGCGGAAGTTCAACTGGACCAGGTCCTCCAGTAGAGAGGTTCGAAGGGTACCCGCTTTGCTCTGTCTACTTTAGTAGGGCCCCACCTGAGGTCCTGGCCGGCACATGCCTGCGCGGTGCAACACCTGGCCGATGGAGAGCTGTTCCTCCGGCACCTCGCTCGGCCTCGGCGTTCGGCACCCGAATCGGCGACCTTTTTGGGGAGTCTCGAGCGGGCGGTCCGGGTGGTTTTCCCCTAACGCCATATGGGTTGTTCTCCCGAAGAACGCAAAAAACACGCAATCCTTCCAGCAGATGTTGCTTTTCGCCCCCAGGCACAATGAGAAAAGATGCGCCGTAATTAGTGAAATCGATTCCGACTTTAAAACCAACATAGGGAGAATAAAACATAGTCATTTCAGCAAATTCAAGCCCAAGACCCGAAACAAGGTTGCAACAAAAATCGGCTTGACTTTTCCAGATCTGCTTTTGGGTTTGGACCATGTAGGGTGTCTCCTGAGCCCAAGCTTCCCCCCGGCAAAACGCATTGACAAGCTACTGGGGCGCCGGCTCACATGGCTCTGCCAAACCGGGCGGCGGCCTGCATTCGTGCCATGCTGCTTGGGCTGTCTGCGAGTGGACTGGCCGTTTGGAGGGTTGGACCGAATGAATGAATGAATGAATGAATGAATGAATGAATGAATGAATGAATGAATGAATGAATGAATGAATGAATAAATGAATGAATGAATGAATGAATGGAAGGAAGGAAGGAAGGAAGGAAGGAAGGAATGAAGGTTCTGGAAATGGAAAACCCCGCCCAGGGCTGGAAATTCGATTGACACCTCCAAAGAATCCAAGCCAGCAGCTCAGTTGCCCCTTAAGCCAGGAATAAAAGGTTGACCTGTTGGGCCCATGACCAAAAAATGCTGGCCATTTTTGGGGGGAACCAGCAGTTCAGGTTGATTCGCCTTGAGCAAGTGAGAGACATCAATCAAAGCCACCAGCTCGAGCTGATGGTTTCTTCCGGCCGATTCCCCATGGCCGATTCGTTGCTCCTGGTATCACAAGTGGCAACCGCGTTTATGCCGCCATTTCCGAAGGGTCTTCTTTATGCTGGTGTCCATCCCAAATCCTAGGTGAGCTTCTAGGAAATCGAAATCGTAAAGTTCACTTCCGGACGAGTGGATTGGCCAAACCCGAGCTTTGTATTTGCCTGCAACATATTGGTGAGAAACCCCAAAACAAGTGACGATCAAGTCCGAAACGGATCTTGGGGAGTGGGTAAATTGGAACAAACTGAAAGCCAGTGGCACGGTTCAAACTGATCACTTCATGTCGCGTGAATTTGGGCACTCCACGGTTGCTTATTTTCGTTTACCAGCTCCAGCAAGTTACGAGGTCGGTGAAAATGAATCACACTAGAAACTTCCACTGAACGCTGAAAGGAACTTGGAGGCTCATGCGAAATAGAGAGTTCTAGGCATATGGAAGACCGGTTCCTGCCTCTAATCCTAAGTGCAGCGCTAACTTGAGTGGATGTTTCTACTGGCCCTTTGGCCCAGAAGAATCGTCAGGATCGTGTGCCATTCCGGGGGCCGTCTTTTCCCACTTCGTTCTTGCCAAAGCAGGCCCACAAAACCCAGAAAAAAGAACAAGAAAAAGACCAAAAAAAAAAAAAAAAAAACGAGCCGGCTTACGCGCATCGACGTCCAAGCCCGTCCGGAGCCTTGTGAAGGGCAGATCCTCGGGCACCTCCTGGTCCTGTTGATTGCAATCAATGGCCGAGGTTTTTTGGCAGATAGAAAGACAACCTGAAGCGGTGACTGCACGGATGTCCTTACCTCTTCTATCTCCCTATGCGTGTGTGTGTGTGTGTGTCGTTTGTTGCCGATCTGTGCTTTCGTGGTTTCTATTAGGTGTCATTTTGGCGGTTGCCCCTGCAACACGTGCTCCCTTTCGGGGGGGGGGGGAACAAATAGAACCAATCAACACGTTTAAGGCGACTTCATTTTAACCAAACAGTGCAACTGGTTTTGTGTATGTGTATGTGTGTGTGTGTTATATGCTGCTGGTGCAAACATGCTTCACGAGTGCTTAACATGTCGAACACATGTTTTGACCTTTGTAGGCTCGGTACCTTTCTCGGGTTCTAAGGGAAACCAAATTGGAACCCTGAAGCCGTGCTGGGGGATCCAAGTCGTGGGAACACTGCATGGATTTCGCAACCATCCACCGTATCACCCGAGTTGCACAGCAAAGCAGGTCGTAAGATCAGCTGGGAACTTCCAGGGATCAAAATTGGTACACCCACACAAAATAGCCCAAAAAGTGGAGACGAGTGTCTAGAGCCAAAAGGCACCAATTATTGGGGTGGGTTTAAAGGAAAACCGCTTCGAAACCACCTACTTTGGAGGTCCACCTATTTTCAACACCAAATTTGGTCATTGGAGGAGTCAACTGTTGGTAATTATGTAGCCCTTTGTGACTCTACTCTGGACATGGCATGACAGCAACATGGATCTCTACCCACAGCGCTCCTTTCGCAAACGTGCCGCCAGCTTCTTACGCGCCGTGAACTCGTTCTGTGGACAAAGGTGACAGTAGCTGCCTTGCGCATGCACAAAGGTATGGCTGGTTCCCTAAATGCTGGATGGACAAAATCCTGCAGTTTGGATGGATGAAGGTTTCTGGGATACAGGCCTGCGCTTGCAGGCAACACCCTTGGTTCATACTGTCCATGGAACATTCCGGTTTTAGGATGAGACCCAAGCGCCCCTTTGGCCCAGGCAAAACCTTGAAGACCTCTCTCCCGATTCTGACCGTGGGAAGACCCACGCGCCGGCTCATACCCAACTCCCTTTTGGTGGTCCTTTTCCAAATTCCTGTGACCTTTGGTGTCCTTCTGGGACAATTTTCAAAAATCACATCCCCTGTTTGTGTCCTGGGAAAATTAAACACTTTGCCCAACAACCTTGTTGTTTCTTGGGAAAATGAGACAACTGACCATATAGGTGTTGATCGCAATGCTGTACATAAACGCGAAGCGTGCAAAGCTTCCAACTGAGTTTGTGTGTGGAATCAAATAGCTTCCACAAGGTTGCACCCAACGAGCAAGACCATGCTTAGTGGTGAACCCAAACAAGAAGGGCAACTAGAGGGGGCCAGAACCCACCACGGTGACATGCAAAGAACCATCTTGAAAGATGCAGAAACCTAGCCAGAACACCCTGAACCAGAGCCTCAAGACAGACGTTTAATTGGCCCGAAATCTCCATCCTCATTGAGCAGCCTCAGCAACATGCTAGCTGAACTGGGACTCATGACCCCGTCCCTCAACGCCAAGAGAACGACATACACACACACACATTGTGCCTCACCCTTAGGAGCCCAAGTCCTCATTCTTTGAGGCCGGTCTTTGGGAGTCAAAGGCGAACTCATATTTAGGGTCCTCTTGGGGCTCCAAATTAGGGAGACGTGCAGTTGAGCCAACTATGCTCAAAGAAGAGTGAAACATGAGACCATCATCCGAATTCAAATATATATATATATACACATAAACAAACCCCACAAAAACACAAAAACAAACACCTAGGCCATGGAATCCCAAACCAAACAACTCCCCCCGGCGCGTCTCATCGCCGGATCGAGACATGGTTTTAATGTTCGGAGCAAGCGGCAGCTGGAGCCCTTCTGGCAGCCTGGCGGGAGCGAAAAGGAAACTGGGCGCAAGAGCAGTGTGTACCTGTTATATATATATATATACAAATATATATATATATATGTATACATGTATACATCCTTATGTGTATATATATATATATGTGAATATATATATAGTGTTTTATTGATTTATTTCTATACCTTCATAAGTAGTAGAAGTATTCTACCCCTGCTCTGTCTTATCAGAAAAGTGGTATATAACTTCCATACCTTAAAACCTCGTGACATGAGGAAACCATGATCCTGGGGCTTCCCCGCTGGACTTCCACAGCATATATGCCTTGGTTCTGCGGCCCATCTGTTTTTTGAAGGGAGGATTGCCCTTCTTCTTCCAGGGTCGCTGCTTGCAACTGACGGGCGAAAGCGCGTCCCCTAATTAAGACTCCACGTTGGACCAACATGTGCTTGGGGGTGCTTCTTTTTCTGTTCATAAGGTTCACTTCTCTTTTGGACATGGCAGACAACTGATTGCCGAACTGCGTTCCTCAAGCCAAAGCGATGGCAAGAAGTCAGCCCTCAAAGGTCCCATTGCCTAAGTTGAGACGGCCTAGCTTGCGCAATCTGCTTCTTCTTGAATGGCGTTTGCACAGGAGGCTGCCTTGAAATCGGCCCTCTCCGGTGTGAACCGTAGAAAAGCAAATCCCTCTGTAACAAATGGCTGTGGGCCAAAAATAAGGCAACCCCAAAATGGACATCCTTTAGGCTCCAATAGGGGTCACACCCCCCAGGCCAAAACCCCAAATCCACTCACTTCTCCAAGCGACCCCATAGAAAGAAGTAATCGTTTGGAACTTTCGCTCCAATTAGTTCGAGACTTGGCAAGAGGCCGAGATCTTAAAGGGTTGAGGTGGTTTTTTGTTTTTTGACGTGCCACGGCTTCTTACTGGTTGACCAGGCTGGGGGGCGGGTTAGCTGGCCGCATCCCCAGTATCAAACGGCCTCACTCAGACTAGGGCTGCCTCTTGGCTTGGATTTGGTGACAGTTCAAGAGTTGCTCGGGGCTGGTTTCGGGTGAGTGTTGGGCTTGCTGAGGTCTGATCTGAATGAGGGCAGGTCTTGGGTTTGTTTGGGGCTCAGTTGGCCAATACGCAGCCCTGACACCCAGTAACCGGGGATGCTGTTGATGCGGAGGTCCAGCCGACCAACCAACCAACCAACCAACAAACCAACCAACCAGCCAACCAGCTAACCACCTGGCCGGGCGAAGCCCCGAGCCGGGGGCTAAAAACAACACACCGGTTCCGATCTTAAAGGATACGCCAAAACATCAACTGTTACATGCCTAAACCCAGTGCAACTGGTAGCGATTTTGATTGTAAACCCAGGTATTGCTCAGGGAGGGCTTCTGAAAGAAAGGGTTCCCTTCTAAAGAAACTCGGCTTGTGGTGCCGTTGTTTTGCCGCATCCGTGGAAGGGTGCATTCCTGAGCAAACACAAGTCGTCTCACCTTGGTCCAAGCCCAAAAAGCCAGTCCAGAAACTCACAAACAGTGTCTGTCATTGCAGTCGCCTCCAATACCTCACTTGCTGAGTGGATGGACCAAAAAAAGTTCAAAGTTTATATTTACCCCTAAAATGGTCTTTCCAAAAAGTTTAAAGTTCATGAACTCAGGAAGTGAGATACCCGTCCACCAAATCTCCCCCCTTCCCCCCCTTTCCCCCCCTGTCCGGAGACTTTCGGGGCCTTGTGGCTTCCAGAACCAAAGGCAGGGCTTGCACCCGGTGCCGTGTTGCTCGGACCCGGGCGTGGGCACTACTTTCCTCCAGTCGAGCTGTTCGAGTCGTGAGTCGAAAAAGCTTTGCCGAATGGCGAAAAAAAGCATCCACCAAATAAGCTTCCCAAGTGGATTACAAGCAGGGTTGCTAACCACAACGCACATACATGTTCAGGGTTGGAAGATTGGACTTGTTGATTCTTCCTTGGGGTTTTGGAGGAGTTTTGGGGGGTTTCGGTGCCGAAAGCGGAACCGCTGGCACGGGCGATCTAAGCGAGCTTCCTTCGGACAAGCAAATGCAGTAAGGCCGTAAGGCACTGCAACTCAAGGCTTACAAACATGTCAGGTTGCAGGAAAACCCCTGGGCATCCCAACTTCCACACTCTCCGTTCAGAGAGTAAATTTGCTTCGACGGGTACGCAACTTGGCCTACAATTCACTCGGGAACCTCTTGGAAGCGGGTCATGCGATGCGGCGTATCTCACATTTGCACGTGGTATCATTGCTCATCGAGGCTTGCCTCTTGGCAACCCCCTTTTGGCCGCGGGCCTTCTGTTCAATAGGCTGCTTGCATCATCGTGCATCCGTTGAAAGGATACCTAGACTCTCCATGACCCTTGAAAAATGGGGGTCATGACCCCTTTTTTTGGTAATGACCCCGGATCATGGAGACTCCATGTAGAAATTTAACCCATATTGTCTGGCAAGCCCCGCGGACTGCATGTGAACATCACCAATGTGCTCCAGGCAAAGGAGCAAGCCATGTTGTTCAGGGAGATGGGTCCGGAGGTGTTTTCACTTGCCCAGAGGCTCCGAGGGCTTTGAATGGAAGACCCAACCCCTCCATTGCACACCCGGAGGTGTTTGGGGGTCTCAAAACCTGGCTGTTTGAGGGCCCTAAATACATCGGGAGCCTCTGGGTGACTAACCTTACAGTACACTGCTGGGATAAGGTTCAGCCAACCTCAACGACTTTTTGGGGCTAGCCTGAACTGAATCGTTTTAGCTTACCCTAAGTAGTATTTGTTTAGAAGACTACGGGGAGACTACCCAAAGGCTATGCAAAGACTATAAGTTTAGGGGGAGACTGCCGGAACACCACAAAGCCACAGCGACACTCCACAAAACAAGCGCGAAAATATGTTGGAAGACACTACGGGAAAAGGAAGACACACAACAAAACAAAACAACACAAACTAGCAGTCAGCGTTGTCCTTTTTCACTTAGACATAGCCATAGCATCCAGGAAAGGGAAGCTGACCAAGCCTACACAAGCATGGCCGCCAACCGCGCTGCGTGTTGATGTGCCTCTTTGCCCCCCCCGAACTGTAACAACGCAGTGAATATTTGCTCTTTTTGGGTTCCCATTTTTTGTGCCCCAAAAGGTGATCACCTTTTAGTTCTGGGTCCCTCAACGTCACCTGAGTTGGCCTTGATGCGAAAGAACAAGATGGTGCGGAGTTGTTTGGGGCACTCCACTCAAGGAAGCGAACGCAACAAAAAAGGTCCATGATGACCTTTTGGGCCGCTAAAAATGGGGAACCAGCCCCCCCCCAAAAAAAAAGAAAAGAAACAAGTCGTCAGATCCAAAGGTCGCTTCGCTCTTCGATTTTCGCTTCGCTACGGGCCCCATCGAAGCCAGGATCCGATCCCCATCCGAGACTCTGTGGCTCCATCGACTCAAATCGATCTGACCTCGACAGAAAAAAACATTGGAGAAACGAACTTCCGCGAAGCGGAGGGAGCGGGGAGATCGGGATATATCGACTCCCGCGCCATTTCCCACAAACTTCGCCAAGGTGCATCAAACGGGGAATCCTCCAGTTTTTTCTGGTTCCCCCTGTATCCCTAGTTGGTTTCCCTGAATGGGGCGAAGAGTCCAGGACTCAGAGCTGCCCGGAGGCTCGATTCGCCATGCCAAGTTGTTGGCCACTTAGGTTGGCACACCACTTAATAACAAGGCGAACCCCACATAGGGGGACTTAGAAGTGGTTTAGAACCTAGGTTGCCAACAACAACAACTTAGAACCTAACTTGGCCGAACACAGTAGGGAACCAAGCATGTAAAAACGGCCCGTGTTCCCATGGTGGATTTTCCAGTCTTGAGAAATGCCGTATATCATGAAGCTGATTATCATCAGTACTAAGCTTGGAAAAGCAGCATAGAACATAAAGCCAAGTATTATCGTTATTCAGCTTGGAACAGCCCCCTTGAGCCAAGTCCCAGCAAATCTCTTGGTTGTTGTTGGCCCCTCTGCAAAAAGTTTAACTTCTTGTGGGTTTAGTGGAAACCCCCTTCATTTCCCAGTCAAGATCTAGCCACACGAAACTTCAGGATGGCTCAGTGCGGGTGCAGCGATTAGGACGGAGTCCACCCGTGCATTGGTGAGTTTTTTGAACTTGCGATCGCTGCGATAGGTAGGAAATGAGAAATGCAATGACCCCGAGGAAAAAAATGGAAGAAAAAGAAGAAAAAAAAACACCCAGCTTGTGGTTTCTTTTCAGGGAAGCCCAAGATTCATTCGCTACTGAGCACTAGCAAGTGAAGTCACCCTGTCGTTTCCGGAAGGAACTGAGATGCTGGTTGGGGAGATGGGTGTCTTTTGTTTGGGGACCCCCCACCCAAAAAAGAGGAGTGGTTTCCCTCTAAAACCAAACAAGAACCACCAAAATAATCAAAGCTGCGACATGTGCCGCACGCAAGATGGAACCCAAGGGTGCCGTGAACAGGGCGCAGGAGCCCGAATGCCTACAAATCGTTCAGCCCTTGGAGTGCGGAAGGGGTGTGTCATAAGAAGAGGGAGCAGTCATGAGTTGTTTCTGCTTGCATTGGAAACGCCAAGGGAAACCGTGGTAAACCTATTTGACTTATGACGTTAGGAGTTGCAGCAGGCTAAGTGGTGGTTGCTGACCGTGACATCTCGCGGATGTCTCAGCTTTTGTCCAACTAAAACACACATTTTAGGAAATGCTGGGGAAAAACCGCCCAGCGGCAGTACTGTAACAAATTGTTATTAAAACTCTGCTCCACTGTTAGTACACAAACGTAAAATGATGTCAAACCAAGCCCAAGGGAGCAAGTCAACATGTAAAGTAGCCACAAAATGGGCAGCAAGTGCCGTGTACAAAAGTCCCAATATTGCTGACCCGGGTGCGGCAAGGGAAAACGAAACCAAAATGGAATTCCAGGGGTCACCCCCTGACCTCCCCCAATTCCATTGTTAAGGTAGTGAGGATGCAAAAATGCTATTTATATAAGTCTGGCAATTCTGGCAGTGCCCCCCAAACTGGTTGGTGTTATTTTGGTTTCTCTCACTTGCCCAAGGCAAATCGACCTTTTCACCTTTTGGTTCATGAAGGGCTTCCCTCAACATCCCTCAGCCAAAAATCACACCCAAAAAGGGGGCGATTGGCTCCCTGCTAGATCCGAAAGAATCGGGACAACCAGTCACCTGGCCTCTCAGGAGCCATCTCGGGCTCGTCATCCCTGCAGACTTGCAATGCAAGGGAGTCACAAAGACACACAACGATCCATTTGGGTGTCTCTTTTTTGGAAGAACCATGTGGTATCATTTGCTAGGTCGGTTTAACAGGAAACCCAAAGGAACCCATCCATTGTAGGGGTTCCTCTGTTTTGACGCATGCCAAATTGTGGACATGTGGAGGCTCTCTTTTGAGGGCCCTCTTTGTGGGTGCCCCTTTTAGCTTTGGGAGAAGGAATTGGCAGCCCTCCAAGGAATTGGGGAGGAAATCTCGCTTCCCTACTGTGGATGAATTCGCGAAATCCAGAAATCGCACCACGAAATGGAACCATGGTTGAAACCGCCCGGTTTCTGAGGCCCGGGTTTTGTAGGTGCAGAATCCACCATCCACCGGTGTCTACTTCAAAAGTGGGGTCATCCCACCGGGATTTGTTGCTCGATGTTCAACTTCAAACCCCGGGATTCGAGTCCTGTCTCAAGTTTGGGAAAGGATTTGGGGGGGGGGGGGTTCGGCCCAAATACAAATGAACATGGGTAACTTCTACATAGCATCTTGTGAATGGTCATCCCATGTTTACCTGGCCATGGGTAACTTCTACATCTCATCTTTTTGGTGAATGGTCATGAATGGTCATCCCATGTTTACCTGGCCATGGGTAACTTCTACATCTCATCTTTTTGGTGAATGGTCATGAATGGTCATCCCATGTTTACCTGGCCATGGGTAACTTCTACATCTCATCTTTTTGGTGAATGGTCATGAATGGTCATCCCATGTTTACCGGACCTTTGGATCAACATGTATCAGTTTTTCCTGGGTCGTCTCAAGTTTGGGCCCCCCAAACGCCGCGGAAAGGCGCGGGAAGGCAACTAAACTTGCATCCAAAAACGCCCGCGTGGATGCAGCCATGGCTTCGGTGTCGTTGGGGCGAGTTTTGCCATGAAAAGGGCGTACCACCCAAGTTGACCTTTGAAACTCCTCCACGTCGACTCCAAGAACCATGGCTGCTCTAAAAACGGGGGTGTCGAGAAAAAAAAAGTCCAACGAGAGCCCATTGTTGTTTCCCTTTGGGTCTAGGTCCTCCAGTAGAGAGCTTCGAATAAGCATACCTTTCTTTTTCTGTAGTCTATTTTAGTAGGGGAACCCTCCCCCAAAAAAGGGGTAAGGGCACTACTGGGGGACCTAGGGGTAAATCAAACATTGGAGTCACTGAACGCAATGATTCACCTGTGGCGGGGGCCAAGGTTCATCCTTTTCACATCGAAAAGGCGACAGATGCATTTTGTTTGCCCCAGCCCCCAAAAGAATCTCCCACATGGCGGTTCCCCTGTTGGGTGGCTGGTTCGTCGTTTGATGTTTGGGGGCTGTTTCAAAGGAATTTGAAAGGCAAGCAAGCCACCCACTTTGGGTCTTGTGAAAACACACCGTTGCCTGGATCCCACGGAAATTCTGGAGTTCAGAGACAGCGTGCTCAAGTAGAAGGGCAACCCCTCGTCCTCCTCATCCTCAGCCGGGGATTTTAAAGGCAAGCCTTGCTTGCTGTCCAGGACTTGCAGATGAGACATTTGTATTGGAAGATGTGACGGAACACAGACAGGGATGACACAGAAAAGGTAGATGATGGGGGGGGTGGGCTGAGCTTATATATTTCTATATATATATGGCTATTTCTTGACTTGCCAATGCTGTGTTTGTCCGCTGCTTGTTCTTTGTCTGTTGGGGGATGGGGGGCCCAGGGGTGGGGATGTGGTGGGGGAGCCGAAGTATAAATTCAACTTATGACTCATCGGCCTGCAGGGATCCGTATGTGCCACCCTTCAAACGATCTTCAACCTGAAGGAACCGCAATCGGATTTGGGCCGAATGGTGATGATGATTGCTCAAAGCAATCGAAAACAGAGGTGACACGTCACGTAAAATACTCATATATATATATATATATATGTGTGTGTGTGTGTGTGTATGTGCCGGGTGTATATATACAGGATGGTCAGCACAAAACAGACACAACATATGGCTGCATCCATTGGAAAAGTCCGAGGGTTGGCGGAATCTCGTTTGATGGTCAGGTTGCGTCTATGGTTTGCACTTACCCCTTGGAAATTGGCCGGGGTTCGTTGCCCCCAAAAGCAAAGTGGCTGTCCTGACTTTGATGGAGGGGTGGCCTTTGTCGTCGGACATCTCTGGATGCCGCCAAACCTGATCCTGAGAATTGCTCCAGATAGGCATACTCCTGCAAAATGCCGGGGTTCCTTTGTGTACAGACCTAAGAAAGCCCATCCTTTTCGATCCGTGTGGGCCGGACTTGACTTGTGGCCGTTTCGGAAGCCACGCCAAGAACCTCAGGTGAGCTTTGAGCCAACCAAGTTGGGTACCCACTGCCCACCCAAAAACCCACGTGACCAAATAAACACCGCCCAAACGAGCGCTGACAAATGGGGTAAGGGTCACCCCTGCCCCCCTCCCACAAAACACCTACGCAAGAAAACACACACAACACACACAAAACACACACACACAAACACACAAACACACAAACACACAAACACACAAACACACAAACACACAAACACACAAACACACACACACACACACACACACACAACACAAACACACAAACACACACACACACACACACACACACACACACACACACACACACACACACACACACACACACACACACACACACACACACACACACACACACACACACACACACACACACACACACACACACACACACACACACACACACACACACACACACACACACACACACACACACACACACACACACACACACACACACACACACACACACACACAACACACACACACACACACAACACACACACACACACACACACACACACACACACACACACACACACACACACACACACACACACACACACACACACACACACACACACACACACACACACACACACACACACACACACACACACACACACACACACACACACACAAACACAGACACACACACACACACACACACACACACACACACACACACACACACACACACACACACACACACACACACACACACACACACACACACACACACACAGACAGACAGACAGACAGACAGACAGAGACACAGACACAGACACAGACACAGACACACACTCACACACACACACACACACACACACACACACACACACACACACACACACACACACACACACACACACACACACACACACACACACACACACACACACACACACACACACACACACACACACACACACACACACACACACACACACACACACACACACACACAGACAGACAGACAGACAGACAGACAGAGACACAGACACAGACACAGACACAGACACACACACACACACACACACAGACACAGACACAGACACAGCACACAAGGAATCAGTTGCACAACCCATGCCACGCTGGGGTATGGGCCATATTTTCTTGAACATGGCGACGTAATCTGGTTAAAAGCAAGTTGAGGTTGGTTGGGAACTTACTTACCCAGGCACCCAGCCCCAATAGGATAATTTACCCCCCCAAGAATTTACACACCAACTATGAAACCTCTGGAAACTCAGGAAATGATTCCAAACCTCAAATCGCGAGGCTCACAGGCGACCTTGAAACCAACCCCAAGTTATCCCCACCAAAAAAGGTAAAACACACCAGGTGACCGTCCCCCCCCCCCCAACCCAAACAACACTCGGCTGTCCGTTTTCTGATCCTAAACGATTCCCTCCCCGCAAGACCCTGAATTTTCGTGTCCCCCCCCCCCGTTGTTTGTTTCTCCGCCCCGGGAAGAAACATAAAAAAAAACTTCCCCTGGGAACAACAACCCCAAAACCGGATGTCCGCTTGCGTGTTGGTTGCCCCCCCCAAACCAACTAAAAACCTAAGGAACCTAAACAATTCCCTGAAGAAAACAAATCGCATGTCCGCTTGCGTCACAGGTGTCCTTTTTATCAGATGGCCCTGGTAGATGATTAAACCACCAGATAAACCAGGGCCATCTATTTGTCTGCCAAAACAACCAAAAAAAGACACCTATGGCTTGCGTGTTGGTCCCCCCCCCGCCCCGGAAACAAGAAAAAGACTGAAAGCCGCCAGGGGGGGTCTTTTTGCCGCCTTTGAGAAAATGGGCGACTCCCTCAAAACGGAAAATCCTTCACGAGGGCCTTACGTCTCCGGCTCCAAGGCGCGGAGTCGTGCAAGCGGTCGTCCTCCTCGGGCAGCTCCGTGGCACCGGTGCGCAGCTTGCGGAAGGAGGGCTTGCCGTCCTCGCCGAAAGCGGAGAAACGCCGCGGGCTGCTTGATTGCTTTTGGGGCTCGTGTGTTTGCTGGTTCTCTTTTTCAAAGAAAAGCCACGTGTGCCTTGTTGGGCTCGTGTTTGTGCTGGCTCTTTTTTGGGCCTGTTCTGTTTGTCTCGTTCTTTCTGCCTCTCTCCAGGACCCTTCAAAAATGGGATCATTCCAAAAGAAAGGTGTCAAATGGGCCCATTTTTGAAGGGTCACGGTCATGGAGAGTCTGGGTGGCTCTTTTTTTTGGAAACAGGCATACTTTCTGAGGGTAGTTCTCTGCAACACTGGAGGCGGAGGGTGCTCCAAAATGAGTTTTCTCAAAGAATTGAAAGCTCACTTTCCAATGCTCTCAGATCCGGCTCACGCTGTCACCTCGGCCCCTTGAGGTAAAGGCTGCGTGCTGGTTCCAGGGTTGGCCCTTTAAAGCTTAGATGGTCTAAGACTTAGTTGAATGGTTAGCAGCCTTGGCTATCATGGTCGCTGCCGGACCATCCAAGTGCGTTTGGCTGCGTCTCTCAGACAGAGCACGTGTTGATGGGTTCTTTGACGGTGGATTCCTGTTAAAACTTATGTTAGAGGCAATGTGTTGAGAATGTCACTTCAAGTTGACTTAGGTAGTGCAAAACCTCAGGAATTGCCCCAAGACCAAACCCTTAGCACTACTTTACAGGAGGATCATACAATGTCACAAATCTATTCGTGCAACAAGAAATGACCAAGGAATGAGAAGAGTTCACTCATTGGAAAGGACACCATCCCTCCTTCCCTAGGGCCTGTATGCAGGAAACTGGGGGTGCTCCAAAATTCCGAAAACAATTGGCAACCGGAAACGGTTGCGGGAACAAAACCAAATTCAAACCCTACCTTATGCTCATCCTTTGAACAGGGCTCCCTATTTCCCCTTAAGCATAACCCCGGTTTAGGATACTCTCTCTGCATTCGACCAAAAAGTCATGTTCACGTCCACCAAGGGGGGAATGTACAACGTAGGGGGGGCCAGAGGGGCAATGGACAAAGCAGGTGAAGACGTTAAACCTGGGCGAGGAACACCCGTCCCCTTCCGTGAAAGTCTTCGCCTGGAAGCCACTCTGATGGGCGCTGAACAAATACATTCATTGCCGGGTTCCTCCAACCCCCTGAGCAAAAGTTTGTAGGTTGATTGGCTATCACAGGCTAAAGTTAGATCGACATTCCATGGCTTCTGACTAAATAGCCTCAGGGAACAACCGAGGCCGTCGCGGACTCCCGCGACGGCGAGTGAATTGAAACGATCTTCTCACTTGCCCAAGGCAACTCGACTTTTTAGACTTTTCCCCCTTTGATCCATTTGTGGTCATGGGTCCCTAAGGGGCAACCGAGATAATGATATGATTGCCAAGACTAATTTAGAGCCATAGCAAAATGAAGACAAGGACCATCTACAATGGGTGGCTCTTCCCATGGCTCTCCTTGGCACTAAAACAATATTGGATTGATACAAGCTCCCGTAGTTGAGGTTTGTGAAGCATAATTACTACTTTGTGGATATTTCAACATACAGATTTGCCTCATGATCCCACCAGGTCGGCCATTGAGTGCCACCGGGTAGCATGGACAGCTCAGGCGCTTGGATGCGGTGCCATTATGTGTTTTCCATATCAAGATGGGACAAAGAGAATTCGAGATCGTCAGGGACTTGATGACATGGCGAGTAATTTCAGAGCCCCAGTCAATCTGACCATTTCAATTTAGCTAGCTCAGAGGGTCATGTTCTTAAGGACAATGGGTATAATTGAAGTTGATACCTGCGGTTTGCTTGATTGAAAGGGATGCAATTTTCTTGGATGACATTTGATTTCTTAGAAGCCCACCTTCCCGGCTACATCCTTTAGCTTTTGCGCCTCTCAAACTTACCATTCACTTTTAGTTGCCATATATTTCGGAGAAAACCAGAGAATCAACGCACACACACACACACTCACACACACACACACTCGAACAATCAACTGGACACACATTACCAACAAAAGCGGACCAAAAACAGAGCATAGCAACCCACGGAAAAAAAAAGGGAAACAACAAACACAAGAATAACCAAAACACACGGACAACCCCGGAAAAAGAAGCAGACAAACACGAGCAAACCCCGCAAAAAGAACCAGAAAAACACAAGACAAACCCCACCTTTCCCAAGTGTCCGAAACGTGTGCCTTGGCAAGAGTGTCCGAGGCTGTCTGGGTGCTCTTAAAGGGCATGCCTGACTGCCTACCTGACTGCTTCCCTCAGCGCGTACTAAGAAGGGGTCGGGGCGGAAAAGCGGAGAAGCCAAGTAGCGGAGGCACAATAAGCAAGCAAGCAAACAAGCAAGCAAGCAAGCAGGCAGGCAGGCAGGCAGGCAAGCAGGCAAGCAGGCAAGCAGGCAAGCAGGCAAGCAGGCAAGCAAACAAGCAAACAAGCAAACAAGCAAACAAGCAAACGAGCAAACAAGCTCGTTAAGCAAACAAGCAAACAAGCAGGCTGGCAGGCAACCTTACTCAACCAAGCAAAAGCACCAGAAGCCATTGGTCTGGTTGCCTGTTGCAAGTAATTCCAACCGGAAGTCTACAAATCTAAAGGGTGGAGGCTACTAAGAACCAGCACATACCGCAAAGGAGAAGGAAACTCTTCGCTACCATTTTGTTGGAGCTTTGTTAGCGCCCGCTTTCCACAAACAGCAAGGTGATACTCCATATTTTGCGAAAACTCAAACTCACTTGGCCCCCACAGAAATAAAGACTTGTTATTTACCACTAAACTGCTGCGTTCCCAAAACTATACTGTCCAAAGACTTGGGAAATGCGTTTGTGAAACCTTCAATTGCCTTGAAATGCTTCCATTTGGTCAAAACCCCTGGAACATATAAACAAAAATCCAGTAGTGATAGATTCCCTGTAAAACTAACAGGGAAAAAACAAACATATTCTTAAGCAAATGCCTTGAAGTGCAAAAGTTCAGTCCAGAGATCCCAAGATTTACTGTGAGCGTAGGTTCGCCCCGGCCTGAAGATCGTGGACTTTGCTGGCCGTCTCATCCCACAACACCTCGCTCGAATCCGCTGGAACCAAAAAATGACAACCTGGAGTCTCCATGACCCTAAAAAAATGGGGTCATTACCCCAAAATTAAGGGAGACTCTAGGAAGTAATCCAACTGGATTCTTGGGAGGTGTCCAAAAAGGAACCGCACCCAAGTAAGTGCTGGTTTTCTGTCGGGGAAGCTCAGGCGAGCGAATTCCACAATTTTGCTTGGTGTTGGGATATTTGGCATGCGTGTGTCATTTTTTTGGAGGGGGGGGGTCATTTGAGTATCCCTGTGGCCACTCCATATTTGGGTACCATCAAAAAACACACACATCCATTTGGCAAACGTCCGTAGATTTCCCCCGAGGCTTCTTAGACAGACAGGTGTCGCTGACTTCGGTCCACCATCATGCAAGCTCCTGCGAAACACCAGAAAACAAACAAGGAACTTCCTGAACCCATGAAACTCGTTGTCGCAAAACATCCTGCAAGCCTGGGAGTCTACACCATGGGCAAGGCTTGCCCACCTTGCCCAAACTCTGGGGTCCGCAGGCCAAAACAGGTCCTTTCCCCGCCCGAGTGGGGCAGGGGCACCTTTTTTTAGGGAACCCACCCCGAATGGTGGTGGGTTCCTGTTGGTTCCCCTTTAACACCAACCAAACAAAAAGGGTACAGAGACACCTTGGTATCAGAGGACACCCCCAACAAAAATTGACCCCCAAGCCTTGCGCTCCGATCGTCCGGAGTCGGTTCTGCTCACCTGGCGCAAGGCTCCGATTCTGCTGGTTGACCCCTCAAAACCTTGCGATCGAATAAACCCAAAAATTCCCTGCAAAGAAACCAATTGGACGGTGGCAATACATCCAGGGGGAATGAATCCAGGGAGTAGGGCGTGTGGGAGTGAACCGGCTTTCGGGAGTCCCGAATCAAGGAAGCCACCAGTTGGACGGTTTATAAGGGTCAGCTCCATGTCTCATTTCCTGCCCCAATTTCGCGCCAGCAAGACAAGTGTTGTATTTTTTTGCGGGTCCAATTCCGAAAATATGTCCTAACCAAAAAGGTTCAAGTCCTAAGATCTGGCAAACCAAACAGCTATATGTAGACCTCTGGTGCTCACCTCTTGGGGCATAATGAGGTCTTTCGAGGTCGGTTTTGGAGAACCGTGCGTAAAAAAAAGAAGAGGCCAACACCTGGCAACGCGGCTCAAGAAACACGGACCCAAATGCAAGCCACAAGTGCTTCTGACATGCCTTGTGAAAGACGTACACTTGAGATCCCGGGCAACTGAGTGTGAATGTGCTATTCCCAAACTGTTATTTTTTGGGGGGATCCCCACACCCTCGTGGCTGTGGCTCAAGTAACAAAAAGGAACCCTGGTACAACCTGCGTTAACCCCGCCTGTTTCATTAAATGAGCCACAGCCAGATCCCGACACCCTCGTCATTTTCCTACACCCTCGTCATTCTCCCCGTGGACTTTGTTTGGCCCAAGGTGAGCTCGTGTCATGATTGGGAAGCCATGCCTTGTCCGCCATCTGGTCTTCAAGAAGGCGTCCGTCTGCAAACCTGGAAGATCGGAAAAGCAAATATATACCTGGTCAATTGGCCAGGAATATTAATCAACCTCCAAATATAAGGTGAATTATGTTCATCTTCTGGAGCCATCTGGGTGAATTATAATAAAAATCACCAGCCTGGAATAAGGCGGTTTGGAAACTATTTTCCACATAAACCACGATTTGCGGTGAGGTCGTGTGAGGTCGTTATAATTCACTCAGAATATAGACCTGGAGTCTCCTTCTGACACTTAAAAGATGGTTGATTACCCCCCCATTTTTTGGGTCATGGAGACTCCAGGTACTCCCGTGGTCGTCAAAATAATTTCCTTTTGGGCAAATAGATCGGCGCCTTTTGAGGTTCCTCTTGCGTGCCGTTTTCTGGGGTCCAATTCCTCTGAGCCATTTTCGTCCAACTGGGTCATACTTTGAAGCGGCTTGCTTTCTCTTGCTCTCAAACCCCTAAGGAGGTGCAGCAGGTCGGCGTACTGCGGGCGTGGTTCCTTCTGCAAATTTCAGCTTGGTGGGGAAATGCGGTGGTTTCCCATTTACCCTCCCCCTGCCAGAACCAGGAGCTCAAATCCCAAAACCACCAGTGCAAACCACCAATTCAGGGTTGCCTGAAAATTGGGGGTCCTTTTGTTGAACCATTTTGGGACCGGTTTTTGTTTGGTCGGGAAACCAAAAGGAAGCCAACGAAGGCAACCACGTTCCCAACCATGTGGCAATCCCATTTGTGGCAATTCCGGCCCCCCATTCAAAAGTTCCTCTTGGCTTCCCTTTAAAACCACAAAAAAAGAAGAAGGGTACCCTCAGGTCGCCGTTCGCCTTCTTGGTTCGGATTGGGGTTTGCTGGCTAAGGAGGGGTTGCCCGTTTTCCCTCCACAAGAACCTAACCAGGGGTTCAAATCCAAATCCAAACCACCAATCCAAAGCACCAACTAAGGATTCCCTGATGAGTTTGGATGTCTAATCTTTCCAAAGGGTCTGTGATTGGAGGGGTGGTGCGTTTGCGGGGCCCGCCGCTACCCGTCGCTATGCTCCTCGAAAGATGCAGCTGGCTTAAAAACTGCACACTGCTACAAAATCAGCCCAGATGATATCCCCAACATCCCTCCTTTAGAAACCAACCCCAGAGCATATATGGGCAAAGACCCCATGGCTTGAAGCTGTTGGGGAACAACAGGGCACCAGTTAACAAAGGGACGAAGGGGCAACAAAGCACGACTTCCTGGACATACTTGGTGATTCTCAAACTCACCACCGTCAAAGAAAAATGATCACGGAAGCTGATCGCTTTGCATGCTCAAATTGCCCTTTCAATGGTTCACAGGAACTGCCCCAAAAGCAACTGGAGGAAAACCCTCAAATACAACCACAGTAAGCGACCCAAAGCATTTTCCTTTTATCAACCAAAGCTATGCGACATGTTTAAACATTGATCTTGAAGGATGTGGAATCTGTGGAATTTAAAGGGGGGCCTTTGGGTGAACATCATTTAGTTGTCATTGTGCCCACCAATCACTCCCAAGGTGGTTCCCTACTAAAATTCTTAGCCATGTGTTGCCCCCAGATTAACATGAAGCCCCAAAGCCCACTTGTTCGATTCCGTCCGTCATTTTGCGGGGAAATGGGACATAAATCCCCATAAAGCGCGGCCCAGTAAAGACGTTTCGCTCCCAGCCTCGAACGAGCGTGCCGGGTCCAGCCCATTCGCTTGAACCGGCGGCGGAAATTCGGAAATTGCGAATCTTCGAGAGCATCAGGGCGTGTGAGTTTTCCACCAAAGCCACTGGCCAAATGGATAAAACAATGGTTTTTGTTTTTGAGGGAGGATTCTCCTTCGGTTCGGGAATACGTCCCACCTTCAAAAAAGGTGGTGATCAGGTGGTTTTGATGCTTGGGGCTCCTAAGCTCCTCAGACTCAGACACCAATACAGTTAGGTCAACGGACCCAGAACTGCGGGGCGAAAAAAAAAGGTGGTTTGTGACTGTTTGTGTTGTGTGGAGGGAACCCGTCTCACAATTCTCGCCACACAGCCCATCTGAGTCACAATCAAAACCTGGTATTAAAATGGTCTACCCAGAACGGCGGCCGCAACTATTTCTGGCTGGGACTGCCCCTTACTAACCTTCATCTACCCGGGTTTTGATTGTGGCTCATGGGTCGACTTCTGGCCGACTCACTTGCTCAACTTGCCCCCAAAGCACCTGGGTAAGGTCCGTTTCCAGCGGAAGCTCAGAGCGCGGGCCAAGGAAATCGATCCATTTCTTGGGCCTTTGCAGCCAACCGGCAACAAGTCCTGCGTAGCCAGGTGCAACCAGCGACACGGAAGGCAGCGCAAAAGGCCACCCTCTGGATTGAAACCTAACTAAACGGTTTGGTTTGAGGACGGAACCACCTGAGAAGCTGAAATAAAACTTGCCGATTCGAAAGGGAACCCCAATTTGTGTGGGAAGGGGCTATTGACCCGGGCTCGACATTCTGGCTGAAGCACAATGACAAAGGTGACCCCCACGGCCCCTACAAAGTGTTTCTCCAAATGATCCCCTTTAAACCAACCTGAACAGGATGCTAGATATGTCTGGGAAACATGTATACGAACTTCCAATCTCCGTTTGGTTTCCTGTTATGACGTTCAAACTTATGGCCGCTCATCTGCAATTTGCATACGGGCCAAGGAGGAATCCGCCCGCATCCATGGGGGTTCGATCCTTCTACTGCCCCGAACCGCTAGAAGAAAAAAACAAAACATCGGCAGGCCCATCGCAGACCATAATTTTCGGAGGGGGGGGGACCAACCTTTTCTGGAGGTTGTGCCCCATTGAAACTCTCAGCTTGCCTCCAATTCAATTAGTGATCTAGATTGGTAGTTTGCGGCTTCCCACTTATCCTCTCTATAAGCACCACCCAATCCAAGCCTGGTAAGGGTTGCCGGACATAGACTCAAAAAAAAACACGGGCCCACAGGACCCGTTTTCTGTGGCGCCGGCAGGACCGAGCGAGCGTGCTTTTGCCCTGCCAGGTCCTTAGTTCACTTGAAATTGGCACCCTACTAGCCCCAAGAGTTGTCATTGTCAAAGTCACCCCCTAAGTTCTATCTAGACTCTCCATGACCCTTTAAAAATGAGATCATTACCCAAAAGAAAGGGGTCATGACCCCATTTTTCAAGGGTCATGGAGAGTCTAGTTAGTCCAAAGGGGAACCACCCCAGTTTCTGACTTTGATAACCCTCGGCAACAGTCAAAATTGACCCCCAACCCTAGTTGATGTTAATGACCAGTTTAGAGAAATATAGGGATTTCTGGAAAAGGTGCAACCAGGATTTGCCCACATGCTACGCTAACAAGCAGAGATGCTTTGAGCGAATGTTCTACAGGAAGTTCGCCCAAACTGCTGTTGGAGGCAATCAGGTAGGATCCAACTAGTCTTTCTCTCACTTCCTGGGTGGATTGGCTGAACATTTTGTTTGCCATTAAACCATTTTTCCCCACAAAAGAATAAAGACTACTAACTCAGGCAGTCACAAAGTAACCTTAAGCCTTAGCTTGCTGCAATGGTCCTACAAAAAAAAGTGTCAAGTGGACTTCGGAAAGCTTCGTTCAACCCAGTGGATCCCAGTTACCAGCATAGGTAACCAGCCATTTTCCTTGTGGTGTTTAAGGGTGATTGGTTTCCTAATATACTGCTACAGGAGTCCACACCACCGATTTCGGGTTGTGTACCAGCCACCCAAAGACGGGTACAAACAAAAGGAGTGCCTATACTCTCCTTCTGACCCTTCAAAAATGGTTGGTCATGAGCCGAATCTTTCTTTTGGGTAATGAGTCTAGGTGTCCCTTTCCCTTCTTCCTCAGCCATGGAGGGACCGTCAGGCCACCCCAAAACGGGTACCAACTCAAAAAAAATGGACAACAAAAGCGGGCGGAACTTCCCATCCGAAGCGCCAGGTCTGTACCTCCCATGAAGTCATTCGAGCCTGGCGATGGGCTGCTGGAGTTCACATTAGAACTGCGGGGATCTTCGGCGCGAAAATGAGCGCGAAAATACAGGGCGTTGTTCTTGGGTATCTAGGTCCTCCGGAAGAGAGGTTAGAAGAAGGGTACCCAGGTACCCTTTTTTCTGTAGTCTATTTTAGTAGGGGAACCCTCCCAAAAAAAAGGTAAAAGGGCACTACTGGGGGACTTAGTTGTAAAATCATTTGCAGCAACCCCATGTTGGTTTTTGTAACTAAAGCCAAACCGGGGTCGCAAACAAATGAGGACCGAACCGTCCCGTTCTTTCTCGAATCCATTTCGGCGCCAAAAACCCAGCAGTGCAGGGACCAGCGATGTCGGGCTACTAAGCACACAGCTTGCCAAAACTAAAACTTTGTTCTGTGAAATCTGAGGGCGTTATATGTCATGAACACCTCTAACAGTCTGGGAAGAACTGAGGTTTGTGACTTGATGACCTATGGATACCCCAAGTCTCCCGAGCTCACCCGCCAAGTCACTTGGCTGAGCATCAAGGGGGTGAATTGCCAGGGTCACGTCCCTCACACATGTTGTTCGCAGTTGTCGGGTCACCACTTGAGGTCCAAATGCCCTACCAGCAAATGCTGTTTCCCAAGTACTGCAGAACAACCCTTTTCAGCGTGTTTTGCGTGGCTTGTTTGCTGCTCTGAAAATGGAGGGAGTCGCATCAAGCACTCAAAGACTGATGTCTGTGCCCTCGTCACAATGGCTTATCAAACAATATCTATTAGGGGCTGATCACCCCGCTCGTAAAAATAGACTAGGCGAACGGAGCAACAGTGAACGAACATACCAGAACACAGGGTTCCTTAACTTTTGGATACGCCCACCAGGACCCCCAATGGCTGGCAAATAACCCCAAAACAGCCATTCGGAGATCATTCCACAGACCGTTTGCCAGCCATTGGGGGGTCCTGGCATATAGAATCTGCTTTGCTAAGAGGATCCGACATCAGCTGACTCGACTCTTAGGCTCGGTCTGCCGTTTTCGCCAAAACAGTTTTCGCCGCCTTGGTAGGAGCAGAAGGGCCCATCCGCGGCGTACACTGCCAGTCGCAGGCCCACGACTTCCTCGCGACAGGGATCTAGGGGTTGGTTCCTTGTCCATTCTTTTCAACCCTTGGTTGTTGACCCCCCTGCAAAAAGTGGTTTTCACTTTTTGGGGGTTTAGTGGAAAACCCAACTTTATTTCAACCAAAAAGTTAAAGTCTAAAGATACAACCCAATAGCAGTCAAGAACCATTGTTCTTTTCAGAAACCAGCTGTGTCCCTGGATTTTGGTGGTTTTCTAGAAAGAAGGATCTCTGGAAAGAATGGGGAAGCTACCCTTAGAAGGGACCACACGTGGTTCTAGCAACACACCAAACCATAAACATGCAACAAGAAACATGATGGACAGTGGATTGGTCTGAAAAGGCCCAAACTGTTTGTTTACCACTAAGAAGGTCTACCCACAAAGTTCAACAGGTGATGCTCAAACCTCACTTGCCCCGGATCGGAAGCAGAAACAACAGGTAATCTCCTTTTGGACCAAGGGTAAGCATGTTGTCAACAGGTCGACTTGCCTTGGGCAACTGAGGAACGCCATGGAATGACGGACAGAAACACAAAACAGCTGCATGGGCAAATAAGCAAGCAAACAGAACACATGTCAACTGTAAACATCAAACGGAACGCAGCAGAGCAGCACAAGCACCAGGACTTGAACCAACACAAACCAGCAACCGCAAGCCACCACATCCGCCGCCGCCGCCGCCACCGAAATGTAGAGAGAGGGCCTCCCGACACATTTAAATGTTAGCCCGCTGCAGATGAAAATGAAATGACACAAAACAGCATTTGTACATGGGGGGGGGGGACTTTCGGGGGTTCATGGGTGGTCCATTTCCCTGTAAGACATCACCCTACCACAGGAAACTTGCCTTACAGAAGCCCAAAAATCGATGTTCAAAGCCACCAAGGAAAATGTGCCAACTGAATTCACGTGAAGTGCCTACAACTCTGAATGGACTCTTGAAATATGCGTGTATGTATGTGTGTATATATGGGATGCAGTTACAGGTTTGTATAGCTGTGTCTTTGTTTAGCAACCCGGAAATTGTGAATGTCCTTCTTGATTTCCTTGAACACCACACCGACGAGCCACCCATAGAAACTTCAGAGGCCTAAATGGGACGCGGATTGATCGATGGATCTCCTCCGAGATCTTGTCCGGCACCTGGAAATCGAACTCCTCGTTCCAGAGTGGCGTCGTGGTGTTCCTCTCGGCTCGTTTTCTGAACTCTCAGTTAGGAACCCACTTCCAGTGCTTCCAGACGAAGCCAGGGGAATTCTTTATAGTAGGTAACCAGGGGAAACCACGTATGGAAGCCACGCCTGGTTTCCCACTAAAGTGGTAAGGGAAGAACTGGGAGTGATTTCCATGACCTGGTTTTCCTAAGGCCTCAAAAACCTGTAAATGTCTCGTACCTTTGCGATAACACCGTGTGTTTGACTTGGGTATGGCATGTTCCTCGGTTTTGTTGCTTCCTTGTAGGAGGTCCTGCGGGAACCAGAACCGATATAAACTCCAAGAGGAGGATTGTTGGTGGCCTAATATGGGGGCGAAATGAATGGGATCCATTGCTTCGATTTTTTTTGCCTGGCTGAAAGCTTGGGCCAAATAAGCGCTGGGGTGCAGCGGAGAAGCGTTCAGCGAGGGC